CACACACACACACACACACACACACGAGTTTGAACCCAGGGCCTTGGGCCTTGAGCCTGCTAGGTAAGTGCTTACTGAGCTACACGCCTAGACCCTGCTCTGATTTTTTATTTTTAATGCAAAAAGAAATTAGAGGATAGTGATTATAGTATATACAATGCCATCTATGAAAAGGGAAGTCAAGGGAAGGCTTCTTGGGTATGATAATTCTAGTAAAGGAGTTGGATGTAATATAAGAAAAAAAGCCTCAGGAAATTCTGGGGGAAAATAAGTTGACAAGAAGATCTCCTATAGGTAAAGATTTAATCAGCCTAACTCCTATACACAAACACTAATCATGAGGATGATGATAATGAGTGACAAAAGGTATGCTTATACTAGATTTTATACTAGATTTTAACAAACTATTCATTATAATTGGCATGAGAGAAACCTTTGTTGTTATAACTGTTATAGGTTAACAATGAAAGCTAGGTATGAATTCAAAATCATTTGGCAGAATTAGTACACAGTCTACTCCTTCTAGTTAAGAGTTTTTTAAAAGTAAGGAATATGTGTCACATCTCATTTGTCTTTTCACCATTCATTAAAACAAAAGAGATTCCCACAAGTTTGTGCTTCTCAAATGGTTATGCTTAAGAATCATCGAAATGTGTAAYGTTATACAAAGATTCATAAACTAGAAAAAATGTGTAAGCAGTAAAATTGCAAATATATATATTTTTAAAATTCTACAAGTTGGTTGGATTTTATTTTTATAAAGATTCCAAAAAGACAATAACTATAACAAGGAAAATATGCTCATATATGCCTATGATTAACTTAATCTGGTTAAACTATTGTAACAACATCTGTATTATGTATAACATCACTTTCATATTTCAAAATATCAAATAGAGCATTCTATATAAAGTCACATAAATGTACAGGCACCTCATAAAAGGTCTTTGATAATAAGGAGGAGCTCTAAAAATATTACTTACCAATTTAACTAGCACACAATATCAGAGAGAATACTTTCCTAAATTCCTCTACAGTCATTCAGATGAAGCAGCAATAGTTAGCTTTTATGCTATATGAACAGGGTAAATCAGAAATTTTGATTTTTAAGTACTAAACATTTTTAAGTGTATAGTTCAGTGACATTTAAGATACTGATTTTAATCACTTCTGCAGACATCAGAATAAGATATTTATTGAATGAGTTCTACTTAAAGAAATATTAACTCAAATCACTGCTTCAGCCCATTCAAAAAATTCACACATAAAGTCTATTATTAACATCTCATTAAACTGGCTTCAAGATTCACTCAACCACTAAGCAGTTTTCCTTTATCACAAATTACAATTAAAAATACTTTTTACTTACAAAAAGAAAAACTAATAAATAAAATTGTCCAATTTATTTGGTATGTTAAAATATTTTTCTTTATAAGCTTTTATAAAGAATGAAAATAATCATTATTTGCAGATACTTTACCTAGAAAATCAAACGAAATGTTATTAATAATCATATTAAGAGCAATATTAATTATTTCTTCATCTTAAAGTTTTACATATAATTATCCATTCAGTCCTTACAACTACCCATGAGTCACCTACTATTGTTCTGATTGTAGAAATGAGAAGACAGATAAAACAGAAATCGAGTAACTTGCACTACTAAACACAGCCAGTAAATCATGAAGCCGAGATAGAAACTTATATAGTAGGGACTTCCAAGTCCTACATTCCCAATAGCTTAAAAAAAAAAAAAAAAAAAAAACAACTAGTAAAAGAGTTTTGTAAGGTAGTTGATTATGAAATAAATATTTTTTACAGATTAGTAAAAGTCAATCTGAAAGATGCAATGAAAATGGCAACTATAACAGCCTATTTTTTTTTTCCCCCTTTGGTGGTTCTGTGGATTGAACCCAGAGCCTTGTGCACAAGAGGCAAGCACTCTACCATTTGAGCCCCAAAGCCTACTTTTTAAAAGCCAAAAAGAATAGGATTAAAAGGAGAGATCCTTCTAAGGAAGGTAAACATTGGCATTTATGTGTAGTAGTCAAAACATTTTTATGGAAAAAAGGGATGTATAAGGCTTTACCTAATATGTTAAAATAGTCTTTAAAGCTGAAGCTACAGCAATTGGAATAGTAGCTCAGACATGGAATCAGTATGATAAATAGACCAAGGGTTTAAAAAAGACCCAAGAACACATAAGACACTAATATATTAAAGGGAATATTTTAATTAGTCATAAGCGAAAGGTTCAGGAGTGGACAGATTACTACCTGTGAGCCAAATCAGTACACGGACAGTTTTTGTAGGATGTATAAACTAAGAATGGGTTTTACATTATAAATGATTATATAATACCTTTGATTTTGTCCCTTAATTCACAAAGCTCTTTCTATGTGGTACTGTAAGTAAAAGTTTTCTGTCCCATGATATAAAGCATAAATAGTGCTGAGACAACTGGATAACTTCACTAAGGAACAAATGTTTGGAACCTTACAATACAGTCCTTAAACCAAAATATTTTATTAAACCAAAATATATTTCTAATGGACATAAGCCGTAGGTGAAGAATGTTTTTAAATTACTAGAAAAAGCTATTAGTAAAAGTCTTTCTAAATATTTTGAAAACAGAAACAGTTTTAGAAAATCCTATGATCCTATAAAGAAACAGAAATATTTGAGGAGACACGTTTAATCTGATTTTATCCATGTATCTGTTAAAACAAAAATTTAATTTAAAAGAAGAAAATGAGCAAAAAAGATTGAGGGATCACGTTGAAATCAAATGAAAAATATCTGAATATTATAAATACCATAAACTAAATTAAAGGTGAAAAATACAGAAAAATATTTTTGTATCAAATGACAAGAGGTTATTAACCCTAATATGTGGAAAGTAATAACAAGACTCATTATCAACAGCGAAATAGGAAATGATAGATAACCCACACAAAGAAATATAAATGGCCAATAACTATAAGAAAAAGACAACCATGTGTTTATGTGTGTTTGTGCGTAAAATTAGTGACATTAATCTACATTAAAACAATAAACTTATTTTCTCTATTAGCAAAAAAAAGGTAATAGTTGTATTAAAGGAATGAACAGTGGTAATGAGAGTAAAAATAAGTACAAAATTTCTGGTGGAAAATGTCAGTATGTTCTAGAAATTTTAAAAACTATAAAATTTTTAATGAATATATTTGAAGTATAAAATCAAAATTCTAGAAATTATTCCTGGTAAGAATGAGTAATTTTAATTTTATTCTTCTCCTCATCTGTACTTTTACAAATTTGTAGTTTCCCTGTCTTTAACAATAAGAAAAAAAGTTAACAGTATCAGCAGCAATTTATGAAGTAGCTACTATGTTGTTATTACCACTTTATAGATGAAGAAACTGATGCTCGAAGAAATTCTTGTTAACAGGCAATCAGGAATCAAACACGTGTGTATTGCTTTAGAATCCAAGTTGTTAATTGGTATGTCATAGTACCTTATTAATAAGGTTAAAAATCAAGTTTCATACAGTAAACCAGGATGAGTAACTTCTGTGAAAATCAACTAGATTGAAATGATAACCAAAATATTTGAGTATAAATGTGAGTGCATGTACTSATTCTGATTTAAGAATTCACACAAATGCAGTGTTTCTGCTTTCTAGAAGACAGGCATTTCTCTGAAATTTACCTTCTACACATGCTCTATTTTAGATTTCTATTTGAAAGCTTCATATCTTCCTAATTTAAAATAAATGCTTTTTAATCTGTAGAATTTTACTACCATTTTTCTATCAAACTTAAATCTCACTAAATCATCACAATAATACACAAGTCATAGCTTTACAGTTTCTGCAATCCTATCAAATATACATCCCCAATTTTAATCTACAAACTCAACATTTAAACATAGACATGTGTAAATAATAATTCAAATATAATTTACATCAAATAATAAATAACTAGAGTTAGAAAACAGCAAGCAGAATATTAGATGACATTCTTCCATAAGCTATTAAAGTGCACACTAATCATTAACCAAGCCACCAAACACATAATTTGAAGAGTCCTAATAAATCAATTGATCAGTTTCCAAAATGACAATTTAAAAAAATGGAATTTAAAAAAAAACAAAAAACTAAAATCCTATCTGAAACCTAGGTCAAGCTAATTTGTGAAATTCTAAAATGATAAATAGTTATTTACTAGTAATAGATTTTAAAGAAAATGAGCATCACTGTTACATACCTTAGAACATTATAAGTGCTTTAAACTAGTAAAAATCTCATTAGGTTAATAGAGGAGACTGTTATATGGAAAGAAAATTAGGAACATCAAATATGTAAAGTTTTGAAAGAGGAAAAGGATTGGATAGGTAAAAAATATAAGACGACTGCAACTAGTATGACATAGGATTAAATTATAACTTAAAATGACCTAATATAATTCAAAAATTTATCTTTAAAAATTTTACCTATTTGCTAATTATGATTTCACTGTATTCTAAACCCCATAATGGGATTATGTCTCTATTTCATCTACTATATCCTGAATGCAGTGTGTCAAACATTTTTATCCCCAAGGATGAAGAGAGAAAAAAATACTCTCTATTTAAGGTATAAGCCTAAAGCCAGAAAATTGTTCATTTTATGCTTGCCATTTTATCTTCAAATCTATGCAAATCTGTTCTCCATGTGTCCATTAGTTTTAATATAAAAGTTACTTCCCATGTTAAACAAAAAAACAGATGATCTAAAAGTCATACATACAATGTTTACACTAAGTCTTTGAATACTTCCTACCACACTACTATCATGTCCCAAGGTAAGAATCATAGGGCAATATGTTTCTGGGTTAGAATCAAAGTTACTTGTCTTTGTATCTCCAAAGCCTAGCACTGTGCCTAACACTCAACCACACAGAACCCATGTTTACATGTTGCTTTGCAGGAACCCAGAAACAGACAATGGTGAGTAAATACATGCAAACAATGAACTTACATCTTTTTCTGACCGATGTGGGAACATAGAAGACTGGCTGTAGTACATGTTTTCGTCATGGTAGTCACTGTCGACCCCCTCTACAAACTTCTTTCTTGAAGCACCAAACATGCTGTTTGTCACCTAAACAAAAATATTACTTTTATCAAGAATAGTATTTTGAAAAGTGTCCACAGCTTTACCTTCCAAATTAAGAGAATACTATTGAGATTCTGAAGTAGAACAACTAAGGGCTAAATGGGCTCATGATAAAATCCGACTATACCAACACATTATTAGACAATTAGTTTTAGGTCCCCAATGTAAAAGATGAATCTTAAAGCCTGTCACATGCAAGAGTTTTGCTTACTTTTAAGGAACTTAATATCACTCTTGAAAAATAACCCCAAATATAATTTCCCATAGATTCTTTTTAAAAGTTTAAATTCCATCACTCACAATCTTCACATGCATCTTTTAACATTAGTGTCTTGTTATTATCTACTTCTAAAATTATGTCTTCCAGAGCATATTATCTTTCCTTACAATCAAAATTTGAGATAGCATTTTTTGAATCAGCATGTAGTGATACACTAGAATTTTATCTTGAGTCACAAGTACCCACCTATAAGCAGGCAATTTTTCCTTCATCATACTGGTATAAATTTTTATCTTTTTTTACTATTTATTCTTGTTTTTTAAAATCATTACCATATCCAACACTAGCAACTTTGAGTCCACACCAAAATTACTAAAATCCGTGCTAATTTTTATTTATTTGGTTATTTTTAAGGTGACCTCTATAAAGTTTCCAAAACTAGCAACCAACTTAAGTAAATTATTTTCAGGTCAATATGTCTTCTCCCTGATAGTACTTTGAAGTTCAGAGTAAGGTGAAATGTTAGTGATGAAGAAAAATTGTAAAGACTTGAATAAAAGGTGACTACATCTTTTCAAAAGTACAAATTTGAAGGGAATCTCACCTCAAATTTGGTATGACTTAAACACTCATTATGGATAAGAGTACCTTCTTCAATTGCAAATAAAGACACAAGCAAAAATTCCTTTGTCTTATTTCAAAATGAAACACTCTAGTCACTATTATTTACCAGTAGACATGGTGAACTGACATGCTACAGACTAAAGACCAAATTTTATGTGCAACTTTGGTGAAAGCATCCATGCTATCAAATAATTTCTTTATATTTCAAGTCCTCTATTAAATTTGTAGGAACCCTTCCTAATGGTGTCTCAGAAAAAGCTACTGGGGTACAGATGAATAGCAGTCTAAGGACAATTTAACCATTACTTTGCTATACGGGGACTGTTAATCTTTTTAGGTGTGAAATACAGATATTTTTAAGAATCTATTAACTCATTAGAACATAGGTACTTAATATTTGGCAGAGGACTCTCGTGACTCTCATGATATATAATTCTGAAGATCATTCCAAACTAGAATCCCACATGGCTATTAAACCTCCTAAGTACTGGGGGGTCGGGAGGTGGCGCAAAAAGGGCTCTTTAGTGAGTTTAATTCAAAAAAGAAACAGTAGCAAAAACAAAAAATAATGCTATAGTTTACAAATTAATACTCAACATACATGAAATTTTAAGAGTTTGTTTTGCAAACACCAAGAATACATTTGATTCTCTTTATAGGACCTTTACTACTGAGCTCTAAATATACATAATACAATAAAATTGTAGGTGAATACTAGAGCATATCTCATCAAATTTTACACACATAAATTTGTTCAAATGGATACAAAGTATATTCTTCTTTTGACAACATTTGCATAACTTTATTATTAAAAACAATTATAGAATCTTAGAATGCCAAAATTGAAAGTAACTATATAGAATGAAAAACTTTATGCTTAAAATTGTGTAAGATGCAATGTCTCAAAGGAAAATTCAGAAATGTTCCTCTTTGGACTGGGGATGTGGCTCAAGCGGTAGCGCGCTCGCCTGGCAAACGTGCGACCCAGGTTCGATCCTCAGCACCACATACCAACAAAGATGTTGTTTCCGCCGAGAACTAAAAAATAAAATATTAAAAATTCAAAAAAAAAAAAAAAAAAGAAATGTTCCTCTTTCAGTAATATTGGACTTTTTAAGCACTGTGGGGAGGCAGGAGAAAAGGAAAAAAAAGCAGGAGAAGAAGAAAGGAGGGAACAAGAGAGGTAAAATGCAGAAACTCATTTCTGTTTTGTGTGCTTCAATACAGAATTTACGTATCAGTGAGAATGATGATTATTTTTATATTTCTTCAGCAAAATGAGAGATAAGAATAGAATGCTTCCCAAATGTGAGGTTCAGACCAGAGATGGGTTCTGGGATAAGACAAAGATTTCTGATCTATAGCAAAATTAGAAGAAAAAAATAAAAGTGACAAGTTTTGATAAAGTTATAATTTAATTTTAAAGAGCTGTCCTTTACATAGAATGATTTTTTTGGAAAAGAGTAGGAAGATATTTTACAATAGCCAGGGATGGTGGAGCTGGAAAGAAAACAAGCAGAGAACTAAAGGAACTACAAGGAAAATACCTGAAGAATATTCAGTTCAGAAGGTAACAGCAAGACCCTTAGTATATGACTCAAACAGCATGAATTTAGTAATGGTGAATGGTAAGAAATTAAGTCAGAGGTACAGGTTAAGAAGCAGTTCGTTTAGTTCCTTGCAGGTCTGGGGAACTTTGGATTTTACTGTGTGAGACGAGAAATAAGAAGAGATATCTGGAGGCTGGTTTTTTAAAACTGACATAATTGGGAGTATGTTTTTAAAAAATGACTCTATTTACACCATGAGGAATGGACTAAGGAGGGAAAAGACTATAAGCAGGAAAATGGGCTAGGAGGATGAAGATGACTTATATTATAGAGGCAGCAGTAGAAGTGGTAAGAAGTGGCTAGGTAAAGGATATACTTTAGAAGAGGAGTCAATTTAAATGATCAAATGTGGCAAATAAAAAGGTATGGTATTCACATTTTTCTCTCGAAAAAAGAATAAAGTTTGGTACCTAGAACTCAAATTCTACTGATTTCAAAGGGAATATGTCAATACTACATTGAATTACTAGCTATACATTAAAGTTGATGTGTTAAATGGAGATTTTAGAACTGGTTAAAATTAAGCCAATACTCTTGAGTAAAAGGTGACTACACCCACAATCCCTGTGGCTTGGGAGGCCGAGGAAGGAGGATTGAGAGCTCAAAGTCAGTCTCAGCAAAATCGAGGCTGCTAAGGAGTTCAGTGAGATCCTATCTCTAAATTTAAAAAAAATACACACACACACACACACACACACACACACACACATACACACAAAGCAGGGCTGGGGAATGTGCCTCAGTAGCCGTGTGCCCCTGAGTTCAATCCCCAGTACACGCCCCCCACCCCACACACAAAAAAAAAAACTAGTTAAAATTAAATAATTTATTATATTTTCTAATAATTAAATACTTTATACTTCATAGTTTCTCTTCAACTAGATATAAAACATTTTAGAATTGTTTCTATGCACAATTTGTCAATTTCAAACAAATGACTTATCAAGGGCTTATACCTACCTTGTTAACTGACAACCTTCTCTTAACTCTCACATCATATTATAAGGACAAGAAGCAGCACAAATCGAGATTGTACCAAGAATGGTAAATGTATATACCAAAAGCAATCTCTCCTAAACCTTTTTTGAACACAGATTTAAAACCTTTAATCAAGACATTTTATCTTCCAAACCCTGATTCTACAAGAACTAWGCAGCATATTCTAAAGCACACAGAAAGATAGCTTATACTAATCCTCTCTACCAGCCTGACTCCACAAAAAGAGCTGGCCTCTGAAAGTGGCGGAGAGAGAATTATGCGGGAGAGCAAAATGAAAGCACTAAATTGGCTGAATTTTCCCAGTATGCTCCCCCCTCGTTATTTAGTTTGGACTAGTTATGAATTCCTAAATTATGGTATTCTTAACATTTAAAAACAGTATTTAAAGCTAAATGCAGTAAACTAGAATACTAACAGGGAAAAAAAACTGCCAAGCACCAAACTTTAGATAATCTAATCAACAATTTCAGAAAAGACAGGTAAAGAGTGGACACTGATATAAGAAAAGAAAAAATGAGAAGAAAAGCCTGGAGCTTTTTAAATTGTTAGGGATATAAAACTAGGACACTTTATAAATGCAACTTGAAAATATATACATGAATATATAAAGACAGACTCAGACTACATCCAAAAAGAGCAGTATTTTAAAATAAATATTCTTCAGCAAGGCCTCTGGAGAGAAACTTTCTCTGAAACCTTACTTGTTATCTGAAACACTATCAAATGTTGGGTTAAGCATGAAATTCTATTCCCTGGAAACCCATACCGTGGCAGAAGAGTTCTTTCTTAACGGCAAATTTAGGGTGTTTTCTAACTCCCCAGTCTAAACTCAAGGTTTTAGCAGCATACTTTAAAGTGCTGCTAAGCTTTCCTACTTAGAAAGTCTAATTTAGTAAACTGTCAGAAACACTTAAGACTAATTTGCAGAGTGACTTTGTTCTATTTATCCACCAAGTAGAATTCTTTTTTCATAGATTTCACATTTGTCTGTTTTTGTCATTCTTCCTATCTTCATTTTAGTTTTAGTTCTGGACTAGTATTTTTTAAACTCTTGACTAATGTCCTTTCATATTTCAATAAACATTGTGAGTTTACTACATAGATTTTGTGAAAATTTGTGTTAATAAAGACAAAGACTAAAAAACAGGTCTAGTCAAGTACAAGCTAGGCAGGAGACAAACCTATAAACAACCAATTATAATGAAAAAATTTCTATCAGTGCTTTGAAAACTCAAATTAAGGGAACATTTAACTCTGAGGAAAACAGAAAGGTTGTATTATAAAAAGAAGTAAGGTTGGGACAAACCCTTGGTTGATTTAAAAAAAAAAAAGTGTGAAGTGGGAGGAGGGAGCAAACTTTGGTAAAAGAGAAAACATGCAAGGACTCAGAAGTGATAGAAAGTCCACGAAACAACAAAACTTTGAATAAGGCCAACACAAAGGCATGTAGAAGAAAAGTATTAATACGGAAAAGTAGGCAGAATCTCAATGCTAAGTTAAGAGAGCAGACAAGGAAGTCAGTTACAAATATCTAGATGACAAACAGACTTCTATTAACCCTTTATTACAACCTTTATAATCTTCAACAATTAACCCAAGTTGATAAAATTCTAAATGTTCAATTAAATTATCTGTATGTTTCTCTATTTGTCATTTACTTGCCATGCCAACAGTCTACAAATAGGTCTTTTGTGTGTGTGTGTGTGTGTGTGTGTGTGTGTGTTTTGGTACCAGGAATTAAACCCAGGGCTGTTCAACCACTGAGTCACACCCCAAGCCCTTTCTATTTTTTATTTTGATACAGGGGTAAATAGGACTTTATTAATCTATTCTTTATTCCTCTTACATCTACTCTCTCACATCATCTAAAGTGTTGTTTTGTTTTTAAGTAAAATTTTCTTATCTTCATGGATCTTCTGATCAAAATTGCCCAATAGCTTTCCCAAATCAACAAACCTTATACTCACTCTGATCATCTCTTTTCACGGGTCCCTGAAACCACTAATCTTTTGGGACACGCTTAGTTACTGGAACACAAGTTCTTTTTCACCTCAGAGCTTTTGCATCCAGTGATGCTTCTACTTCAAATGTTCTCTCATTCTTTCTGAAACTTGTACACTAAGTCAGAACTCCTGTTTTACATAGTCATTGAAAATACTTTATCACAACTGTAATTACACAATAATAAAAATTACTTTATTGGTCATATGCCAGGCAATATTCCAAGTGCTTTAAATTTATTCATGTAATTATCCTAATGCTATGAGGTAAGAAGAACTATTATATCTGTTTTGTAGCAGAGAAAACTAAGGACCAGATAAGTTAGGTAACTTGCCCAAGATTTTATGTATCTGATAATATATACATAAATTAATTAACATTTGTTTTGTGGTGAATGTGGTAAGTAGGGTATGCCACAATCAAGTATTTGTATGTTTGTCAATAAGACAAATAATAAAGAGAATGGTCTGATTGATTCACTACAGGCATGTAAGACAAAAAGCCAGTCTCTATAAGACTATCTATTTTAGAGAAATTTTATAATAAAATTATGTTTTAAAGAAAGAGTACTATTCCATCAACTAAAAAGTAATTATTGGACTGAGTGAGGTTTAGCTTGGGTTGGTGGTAGAGCACATACTTAGCATGTGTGAAGCCCTGGGTTCGAGTCCTGGCATCTCCAAAAAAAAAAAAAAAAAAAGGTCAGGAAGGCTGCAGGTAAGTGGAAATAAAAATTACATATATCCTGTTTTCACATTCTAAAAGAACTAAACACTTTTAAGTACTTTCTAAATATAGTGAGCATAATTTAATTCTCCACTGGAATTAGGATGATTATAAGCAAATTCTAATTTTTGTTACAAAGCTATTAATATGAATACTTTATCATTAAATATGTTAGATACATCTAGAAACTAGATACATCTGGAAAAGAGAACATATCCCTAATAATAACTTTTTCTTGTGGATTCTCTCTCTAATGTAGGAAGGGGTTTATTGCTAAAAGGAGTCGCATCATAAAACCAATTTTCTTACAACAGTGAAAATATCTTTCCACTTCTTCAGAGGCACCAAATTTTCCCTTCAAGCTAAAAGAGTTTGCACTCACTTTGCATTATAAAGGATAGAGTGCCAACTGCAAGTTATACGTGGCCTGAGAAGAAGGGGAAAATGTTCTGTTTTCCAAATAGAAATATTTTAGTAACTTATTTTGATTGCTACTATGGAATTTAACTTTTTACTGTCCCTCCCAACTCTATATTCAGTATCAATACTTTCTTATTATACCTGCACAAGTTTTCTCTGTCTACAAAGTAAGCAGAAACTAATTAAAAATCACAGCAATGTAATAATATTTACCTAACTTTATCAAGAGGTAATAACATTAACATTTCAAACTACTCATGAGGAGCCATAATATCTAACTAGTATTTTCATCATTGCCCAAATTGTATTGAACTAGAATATGCCTATATCAAATCTTATATTCAACCTGAAAATTGTAGGAATTTTTAACACTTTGTAGTAGAATTTTGAGCTGCCTATTCTGATTCACGGTATTTAAATAATTCTTTCTTAAAAAAACTTAAAAAAACTTTAAAAAAGAAAGGAAGGATGGAAGGACAGAAGGAAGGAAATGGATTTAAGAAAAGGAGAAAAAGGCAACAAATAGCACTGGAAAAAAAAACTAGCTTCTTAGAGAACAAAGATCTTAAACACATGGAAATTTTTAGAAAAAGAACAAATGATGGGCTGGGGATGTGGCTCAAGCGGTAGCGCGATCGCCTGGCATGCGTGCGGCCCGGGTTCGATCCTCAGCACCACATACCAACAAAGATGTTGTGTCCGCCGAGAACTAGAAAAATAAATATTTAAAAAAAAAAAAAAAAAAAAGAACAAATGATTTCTCTCTTTTCACATAAGAAGGATAGTACTCAAAAGTCTTCCTGGTTCCAGAATATTGTGGAGTCTGATATTTCTAATATGATAAATATATAATGAATATTTCATGACTGCTTAGAATGGACCAAGAAAAGTATTAAGATGCTAAGAGAAATTTTAAATATAGAATTTTTAATTCACCAAATCAAATAACATAAAAACAAATAAAAGTAATGCATGCCAAAGTTAGAGAAAATGCAGAATGCCCAATAAATAAGCAATAAAAAAACATCTTGAATAATAACAGAAAGCAGTTAACGGGTAGACATACAGGAAACATGACTTTGGAAAAACACAATCATTACTTTGGAGAGTAGGTAAGTATCCTGGTAGAGTCCTCTCCAAGGGTTACAGAAATATTTTATACATTTCTGGAAGGCTCATCCAAGAAAACACGGTGGCCTGTGTCAAAGAGATAGGAGAGGGCGAGGGAGACAGAAAGATAAGAGACATCACTCTTCCCAATACAAAAACTGCAATCTGATGTCTGAAACTGTTTGCTCAAATGATACTCCTTAAAACTATGTACATCATATCCCTTAATATGCACCCCTAAAATCCACAAATCCTCTGAACAGTGTTACCAAAATTCCATAAGTGCTCCCTATCAATCTGATTTTGATCTGGAAGGTTTGTTAACACATGCTTCAACTTGAAAATACAGATTTTGTGGTTTCTCCATACCAGTAAGCCTTATTCAGAATGAAATTTGAATCACCAACATATAAGCTTTAAAAGGTAAGTGCACCATTTTAACAAAGTTATAAACACCAAAAAGTGCTAATCCACAGGGGGGAAAAATACACAATCATATACCAACTAAATAATCAACTATAACTAGTATTTATAATAAAACAGAAATAAGAGTTGAAAACTAATACTAGAGACTAAAATTAACGTAGTATTTTCTTCTTATATATATTAGAATGCAAAATTATAAAACCCAAGTGGAAGGACATGTAACAGTAGACAAATCTGTAAGTTTAAAATATAAACAAATCCTCTAAGAATAAAGGAAATATTCTAATGATGTACATTTTTTAAATCAATCTTTAAAAGAAGGATTAGTCTTAAAAAAAAAAGGAGGGAAGAGAGATTTAGAATATAGATTTAAAAAATGGATCTACAGTACACTTTGCTGAGGGTTATATATTTCTACAAGGCTGTCAGTAAAATTTAAAATACCATAATTTAAAGAGTTAGAAACATGGAACTATTGAGAATTCTATCTTTTGAGGTCCTGTTTCTAAACTCTAAATGCTAGATACTTGGTGTTCCAATCTCATACACTCTGAAGAAATCTTAGTAATCACAGGCCATATTAACAATCTGTTTTACTTGTGTTCAATTCCAAATGTCTTCTTATATGAACAAAATCTACAAAGCATGAATATAAATTACATGGACTATGAATATAAATTACATGGACTAGATCTGGGAGAGCTAAAAAACTCAATTTTAAAAGCTTTCTGAGAAGCAAGAGCCTCAAATATAGTAACAATAAGTAAGGTAGTGAAGACCCAGTCTATATTACTATAAAATTATTTTTAAAAATTATGACTTCAAGGAAAAAAATCTGTAATGCTAGTATTTTTTGTACAGGCAGAAATCAATAAATGCCAGAGTGTTGGCACCCTCCCCGCTTTTCTCTCTGTCTCTCTCACATACACAGAGGATTTGGTAAATGTATTCTCTCATTCAACGGGTATTCACTGTACTATCTGTACCAGATACTGTGTCTTCACTGCATCTATACTAAGTTTTGTTAACTTCAAGCCTAGAGATTGGTAGACATGCCCCAGTTATCTTGTCAAAACTTTAAAAAAAAAAAAAAAAAAAAGATGTCTGAAATATCTATTCCTGTAGAGGTTTTAAAACACAGACACCTAATACCTCTGGAAAAAACACAGCATGTTTAAAGCTAGTAGAAGAAAAATAAAATGCCACCTTCCAGGACCTCATTTCATAAGACAGAATTGTAATCTATGGATTTATGCTTTTCCTAGTTAATTTTCTTAGCTTCTTTTCTGGAACATGAGTTTTCTGGTTCTGTTATACTCTTTTTGTTTGTTTGTTTTTTTGTTTGTTTTTTAAATCTAACAACCTTTTTCTGTATTATAGTATTAATGGTGTACTCAGTGTAAGTTTTTTTCCTATTGCATATTAACAAAAATTAAAACTATTTCTTGCAGCACTAGATTTTTATATAATAATTTATGAGACAGTTTTATGAAGAAAATTTTTTAAAATACATTATTTCTAAACTAACAAGATTGGCTCACTGGTAAAAATGGCCCGATATCCACCCTCAAATATTGACAACAGTAGCATTGTTTCCCCCAGCTTTTCCCGCCACATACTTACCTGTGCAACTTCTTTCAACATTTGCTACTCTGGGGATTGGAAAGCTCAGAGCTGGAGGCTGAAGTGAAGAAGGAAAGGTTGGAGGGTGAGCCATGGCACCAGCCCCACACTAGGAGCTCCCCTGAGATATTACAGCAGGGTTGACACCATAGCTCTGAAGTTCAAACTCCAGCAAACGATAAGAAAGGAGTCCAACCAGAACATGATAAACGATGGGATTCTTCTGCTCTTTGAAAAATAAGGAAATCATGCTATAAAGATCTGAATGTCCAGTTTCAACATTATGACTCCCTGTTCACTTCTCATTATTACCCAACCCCGATATCACCTTGCAGACCAATTCAAAGTACTAATAAATTTTTTTTTTTAAAGGTAGCTCTCTCTATAAACTTGCACACTTTTTCAAAATGCAAGGATAGGCTTACCTGGCCATCATGAAAACGTGTTAAGACAACTGTTCAATTATTCTGCCTATCCACTCTTTATATAGTCTCTTGTTCTCCTAAGTACTCAACATTAAATCTAAGATTTGCATACATTTTAACACCATCATCCAGCAAAAAGTGACCACATAGGATATGTTTTCTAAAAATAGACAAGTGAACTTTTAAAAAAAATAGATAACTTTTTATAAAAGTATATTTATTGGGAAGAAATTAATTTCTTAAGTGCTCTACACTGATAAAAAGAAATAAAGACCATTCGATAGAGGGGCACTTGAATCAAACTAAATGATAAAGAAAAAAATTCAAAGAAAGGTTTTTAAAATCTGAATATAGGATTTGAATGAAATATCGAAGTTATTCTCCATCACTCTCTGTGGCAGTAATGGGGATCAAATCCAGGGCCTTATACCCACTAAAAAGGTGTTYTACCACTGAGCTACATTCCCCAATCCTAATCAGTTATGAAAACATAAACCTTGTTTAATAATATAAAAAGTAAATATTTTGATTCATAGAAAAACAAATTCTATTATAAATACTAAAACTAATACATGCTTATTTCAGTTATTTCAAGACAATATCAACTCAATAGCATAAATAGATATTATCAAAAGTGACATATTATTTTAAAATGTTTATATTTTAAAAATACACTGGTGTACCAGAATTCTGGTTATGTATGAAGCAGTCAAAATTGAAAAGTATTTTCAGCAAGGAAACATGGGACTTTCTTTTAAAACATGTCTAAACATCTTACCATATAAATCAAATCTCAAAAACATTTATTGAGCATCTACTACCAAAAGTGCTAGATGCTAAATATTACACTTTAGACTTTTACGTACTTTATCCATTTGATGTTCAGAATAGTGAAACACCACAAATAAAAGGAAACAGAGGCAAAAACACGCTTACAATGGCTTACTGCACCATTACCAATGCCTCAAAGACCTTACTGACCTTACCCTTTGTTACCTCTAATTCTCCCCTTCTCTTACAGTGCTCCAACCACATTGGTTTTCTTGTTGATCATCAAACACGGGGATTTATTCCTGTCTCCAGGTCTTTGTATTTGCTGTATCCTCTAGAAGTATTCTTTCCCTAGACATATATCCATATGGCTTTCTACTCTATCTCACTCACTTCAGGTATCAAGGGAATCATCTCAGTAAGAATTTCCCTGTCTATATTTCCCCGTCTATTTAAAATTAGCCCTTTCACCGACCACTTATATTTAGTGTCATTTCCTTTGTGCTCTCCAACCTGAGACTTTACTCAAGTACTTCCTTGTCATTCACAACATCGAGGTCATGTCAAATACACTGTAGAATGTCCCCCAATTTTGATTTRTCTGATGTTTTCCCATAACAAGACTGAAGTTATCCATTTTTAATGGCACGTCACCACACAGGCATGCCCTTCTTACATACATCATATACAATCAATAGACTCCAATATGTGAGCACATGATATTAACATTTCTTGTTACAGGTAATGTTACCTGGATGTTGGTTAAGGTGATACATTTGCTAATTTTCTCAACATTGCTATTTTTTTCTCTTTTAAAATAATGTTTTGAAGAAGTACTCTGAGAGCATGCAGTCTATCTGTCGTTAAATTTTTGCCCCCTAATTATAACATTCATCCATGGATATTGCTTGCAACACCTATTACTATGGTATTCTAATGGTGATTTTCTATTTTCCTTATTCCTTCTATATTTTTTAACTGAAATATTTTCCGAAAGTAAATAAATCATCTTTAAACAATCTCATTCTCTTATTTAAAAACACAGCTTTTCAAAGATTGTCTATAACTGGCCCAAAGTGGCAGGTCAGAAGGTGAGAACAATGACTCAAACTCAGGGGTCTTGACTCTAACAATCACATTTTCCTAGCTTTATCATAGTACATTTATCTTAACATAAAGGATTTAAAATTTCATAAGCCACAAGGCTCTCTCCTAGCAATTTCCTTACCTTTTTATACCCCTGAAAACATACTTTCCTATTTTCATTAGCATTTTACTATACTGTGTTCAATTTACTGAGCCAGATTAAATAATAGAGATAATATCCTATTCTATGCTGTATAACAGATTTTTTAAATAAGAAATATTAATTAATAAAATTATTACCTTAGATGGGATGATGAATGACCACTGAATTTACAGGCAGGCCTACAAATCTGAGGGAATTTTGAAGGAGGGGATTCAAGTGATATGGTCCAATGTTTTGACCACTGAATTTATAGGCCTGTAGATCTGAGGAAATCTTAGAAGGAGGGAATTCAAAGTAAATGGTATAATTTTTTGCTTTATTCCAAATGAAATCAGGGCTGTGATGTCTCTATTATGATTCAAACTTTATTTAATGATCTATACTGTTTTCTATTTCTTTCCAAATGACCTTTGGTACTAAGATCAGGTCTGATATTTTTGTATATTACATAAACAACAGAAAATATCCAAACCTTGACTGACTACTGAACAAAAGCTTTTTCTCTATATTGGAATGTGATTCTCACCCACTTTCTCAACTTAAAATTTTATAAAACAAAGTGACTTCCACTTCTAACTAAGAGTAAGAGTAGAACACCCTTCCCCCAAAAGGGAACAAAGATTACTAAACCCTGGTTTTCAGACAGAGAAGAATCACAGGGAGTCCCTGTTTAGAGACTGAAAGAGTTTTCAGGCTACAATGAAGGGAGAAAAAGCCTGGGTAGGTGGAGCACAAAAACTTCTATAAACTGAAGAAGTGGAGCTGAGAGTCAGGGTTGAAGGCAGCTAGAGTAAGCCGGCTAGAGAATAAGAATAGAATTACAGACAAAACACTCTAGAGATTTGGAGAGGGTTTCTGCAGTCTTGAGCCAGTACTGCTTAGTACAAGCATTATGAGGGAATTATCTCAAGCTGGCAAAAGAACCGCCTCAAAAGAACAGAGGAATCAATCGTACAGGTTAACACAGGGCTGAAAACTAGTTAAAAGTTACTACCAACTAGAGTAGAAAAACATAATTCACTGGGTACTGGATAAAGTACTTAGAAAAGTACTAGGTCCATATCTGGAGGAAAATTAGTCCTAAACTAAAAACTACTGTGGTTCTGTTTAATAAAAGTTTTTTAAAAAGGAAGTCCCAAAAGAATCAAATGCTTTCTAAGTTTCTTAACTACAACTCAATAAAATCTAAAGAACTGTAACAACAGTACAAAACATAAACAACCAACAGAATAAAATTACCAAGGACTGGTACCCAAGCAAAAATAACTAAGCATACAAAGAAGTAATAAAATATAACAGCTAATAGATAGGGAAAAAATAACAAAAACCCCAAAATCAAGAGAAACAGGCATAGTCTTTAGTGATAGAAATGACACAGATGACAACAAAAAGTTTTAATTACATTTCATATACAAAAATAGACTGGCATCCTGAAAACAGCTTAGTGAACTTGAAAGCATAATAATAAAAGACTACCGTAGGGCTGGGGATATAGCTCAGTTGTCTGAGTGCCTGCCTTACATGCACAAGGCCCTAGGTTCAATCTCACACCACCAAAGAAAAAAAAAAAAAGACTACCCTAAATAAAACATATAGAGAAGCCAGGTGTGGTGGTGCACGCCGGTAATCCAACAGCTCAGAAGGCTGAGGCAGGAGGATCACAAGTTCAAAGCCAGTCTCAGCAATGGCAAAGGTGCTAAGCAATTCAGTGAGATCCTATCTCTAAATAAAAAATAAAATAGAGCTGGGGATGTGGCTCAGTGGTTGAGTGCCCCTGAGTTCAATACCCAGTATCCACCCGCCCCCCAAAAAATAGAGGGAAAATGAACATAGTGACAGTAAGACGGGGAACAACCTCAGGGCTGTCTAATGTGTAATTGGAATCCCCAAAGGACAGCCAGTACAGAAAAAATATTTAAAGAAATAAAGAACTATAAAAGTCTTCAAATTTGATAAAAATTATAAAGTCACAATTTCAAAAACCCCACACTAGAGTCATGAAAAAAGTTATACCAAGACACATCACAATCAAAATCACACATCAAAAGAAAGTATCACATTTTTAAAATTTTTAAACTTAAAAATTTTAAAGCAAATCTTAATAGCAGTCAGAGAAAATGACTCATTATGTACAGAAGACTAAAGATAAAAATAACAACAGATTTTTGTGTGTGTGTTAGAAGTAAGTCAGGAGACATTGGAGCACATCTTTAAAGTTCCAAAGGAATAATGACCAATTTTGAATTACTTATGCAGAAAAAATATTCTTATAAATGGAGATAAAGAAATACTTTTTCAGACACACAAAACCTAAAAGAATTTATCACTAGAAATGAATTAGAAAAAATTTTTAGTACGTTAGCTAGAAAGGAAATGATAAAGAAGGGAAGGAAGGAAAAAGAAAGGGAAGTGAGGAAAGAAAGTAGGTAGGGTAAGGGAGGGAGGGAGGGAGGGAAGGAAGGAAGGAAGGCAGGAAGGAAGGAAGGAAAGGAGAAAAAGGAAGAGAAGAAAAAGAACCATCAAATCTATTTAATTATAGATAACAATAAAGAGCAGAAATAACACCATCACAGCCTGTAAAATTACAATGAGGAATATGTAAACAGAGAACTA